AATCAGACTCCCGTCAATACCATAGTATTACATTATGATTGATTTGACACTGGACAAATATAGGTGAATAAGTGAAACCGGATTAGTTCAGACATTATTGTACAGCTGAAATATACAGTTTCTTTAAAATTATCTTCAGAATATTTTCGATAAAGAAGCTAGAGATAAATGATAAAAGTTGCCAGTAGTAATAAATATAATAAATAACATGTTTGACTTTGCAAATAACAAGAGTAAATTCATGAATTAGAATGTGTATATTACTATATAATATCAAATCAAACTGATGATTATGAAAAGTGTTGTGAAGTCAATCCAGATTGTTTAAATTTACGTCTAGAACAAATAACTAACCATTTACTCTCAGCTTTGAGTATGACTGTTATCTATAGCTTTCTATTCGTTCATAGGATCATTGTATTTCTATGATCATTCTACTTATATATTATAATTAGCTAACATGATTTTAATCACATTTTAAGGTTTGACATGATAAAGTTTGATTCCTTTATTATTAAGACGAATGACAATTTTTTTAATATCTATTCATTACGTAAAACAACTTTCTTATTGAATAAAATCCAGTCAACAATTAATGTATAAGGATTTAAAATTGTCATAATCTATTAGACTTAAAAATAATCCAATTCTGACAGAAAGATACTGACTACATCATCCGCTTAGCATCATTCTCCTTTAGTAATTCAATTAAATTCATATTACATTGGAACTATATTATTAAATATTAGTTAATTAGACGAAATGAACAATGAACCATTCGCTTATTGTTATTATTTATATTTAGTGAGTATATATATAAATAAATTAGAGAGAAATATCACAAAATGGCACGTGTCACATTTTTTTGTAGAGAAACAATCATATGCAGAATTACCATGTAATCCTCAAATCAATAGTAGTTTACTGAATTGTAAACAGTATGTTTACAGTGGTTATAGCATATAAACTGGGGGAAAAAAACAGATTAATAGTTATTTGTTTACATTTATATACAATCAATGAATGGAATGACAAGATGAATAAATATTGAATAGGTAAAAGACAATGATCTACTTAGTATTTGTATTACAAAAAAAGAACAATATTTACTCCAATTACTTTCAGTTTAATAATTACATAACATATCATATACACTCAAACAAAATAATAATTAATGAATTAAAGTGAAATGATTTCACGCTTGATATATTGAATTTATCTATTTATCAATCAGTACCTATTTCTTCATGTTAATCCTTATTGATAATTTTATTCACATCCAAAATAACAAAAGTATTCATATCAATGTATACAATAAAACATTAAACAAAAGGTAAAAGGGAATAAAGCATTTTTCTTTCAGAAAGAAAATAATAATAAGATTTAAGTAGAATATTTATAAAGATTAATTGGTATGGAAAATCACTCTTTTTTCTTTTTAAGAAAATTAATTGACACACGCGCGCGAGACTGATAAGTCCTGGGTTCGAATCCCACGGGGGGGTGGGATCGTGGATGCGCACTGTTGAGAAGTCCCATACTAGGACGAAACGGCCATTCAGTGCTTCCAGGTTTTCCATGGTGATCTAGCTTCATTCAACTCACGATTTCAACTATTGAAATATATCATATGGTTAATAAGAAATACTTACTTACTATTCACCAATTAAAAATAGGAAAATAATTTTGAAAATGATAATTATCAAAAGATTTTATTGATATTTTTATAATTTGTTGATTGAGATCATGAACCGATTGATGTTAGATCATCATTGAAAATCTGGAAGCATTGAACGGCCATTTCTTCTTATTATGGGACTCCTCAGCAGTGCGCATCTACGATCCCGCTCACGAGATTCAAACCCAGGAACTTCGATCTCGTTTGTGAACGCTTAACCTCTAGACTACTGAGCCAGCATCTAACGGTGTTAATGTTATAACTTTTATGTCATGTCATACTGGATTGATTAGAATGCTATAACACAAATCCAAAAAATGCGCAAATAAATTATGTCAACATTGAGGAGATTAGTATTGATATGAATAGTTATCAGACAAGGAATGATTTTTACGGTTTAATATAAGATAGATTCTTGATTATTCAAAATAATTTAAAGGTATAGATCGACTAGTTACGTTCATGCAAAAATGAGTTAATTGATTATATGCCTCCCATCATTAACGTGTTGAAAATAAATGATGAAAATCTGCATAACTACTATTAAAACCATATGAATTATAAGCGCATTCTTAATTTTTCTTTGTTAGAAAATATTGTGTGCGGATTAGTCAGGGATTACTAGTAGGTGAATAAGATCAGATATTTTTCGATTTGCTGCACACTATTACATCATTAAGTAATTAGTAAAACGAAAGGAACATAACTGATATTAGTTGAAGTTAAACACTAACACCGTCGGATGGAGGCTCAGTGGTTAGAGGTTAAGCTCTCGCGCACGAGACTGATAGGTCCTCTGTACGCATCCCACGAGACGGAGTCGTGGATGAACGAAATAGCGGATGGTTTACATTGACAGATAATTTACTTTTGTCTTCTTATCATCCATTCAAATTATTTTTTAAAATCTACATATCGCCATTACTTAACTAAAAAAATCCTTTGATAGACTAAGTTAATTGAAGTATGCCTTCACAACAAATTCTTATCATCTCAATTAACCCGCATAGCTATACTTCAGACAAGCAGTAACTTTATGAACTAGTGTTATTATTTGGTCTAGTCAAAAAATATTTTTCAAGACAGTTTTCTACATTAGATGACGTTGTGATGTGATACAGAATTTTATATTGTCATGTTTACATTTCTATCAACAGATTAACCTCATTCGTCGAATAATACATTTTCGAGATAAACATTTCTAGTCATCAAATCCCTTCATATACGAGAAATTATCCAAAAGTACTTATAATCGATCACGTATTCGTTTATTCTGCCTCCAGTGTCAGCATCTAACATTAGTAAGGTAGGATAAACTAGAATGATATGCAATATAAGCGCCTATTGAAAGTCCAATATTTTATCAACGCTACATGTTGATAAATGTCAAATTATGGTCTCGGATGTATTGGAATTAACCTAGCAACTCAGTGTTAAAGCAACTACTTGACAGCTTCACATACTATTTCTGCATAAGATGTTGAAACGGACTAATCTTAGAAGATAACTTCGCAGGTAAGTAGGCCAATTTCTAAAACCCTGAGGTGAAAGAGTCACGTTCACCAGTGGTAGGCAAATGACTGTTGAGTCGATGGAAGGATTTAAAAAAGAGCTAGCAGATAGATAAATTCGCTTATTACTTGTGTAAATGTTACAAGTCCTTCTTACTGATAGGAAAAATTGCTTTCTTTAAATACATGAAAATAGTATTAGGAACTGGCACGTTTGGTTATTTTAGAAGATTTGGTCAACGAACGTTTATAGACGTCTAAAACTGCCCGATTTGTTGTCCCAGAACTGAAATCAAGCATCATAATGTCAGAATCTGAATTCATACCTCTTGGATCAAGCTACGAAGAGACTGTAATTGTACTACTGCATTACAGTCACTAAGGTGTAAGAACGGAGGAAGCGATGAATTAATTTGGTTAACATTCTATTGAAGATTTTTTAAATAACTGTAAGATGTAAAGCTCAAGTTTGTCCAAAATTTAAATGTGTCGTATTTAGTTGATAAAGTTGGAGAGAAATTCATCATGTATATGATATCTCTTTTAAAATACTGTATATTGTCAACCTGCTTTTTGTAAAAGACATTCACTTGACTGGATTTGTCTACATCTCATCAAACCCAGGTTTAATATAGTGTTGAGTCGATAAATTATCCGGAAATCAAATATCCATGAATGTAACATACATTTTTGGTAGTAAAGAAATAAATCAAACAGTTTTTCTACACAGCCGCTCATTTGTTAGGAGTTGAATCATTAAACAAGTTAAAACTAGGTCTATAATAGTAAACAGTTATGATAACAAACATCTCGATAGAACACAATCCTTTAATTCACCGGTTCTATGATAAGAGGGTTATTGATAAGTAACAACAACGTAAGAATTATAAAACACACAAGTATAAGATTATGTACACCCAGATAGGATACTTATTCATTTTCATAATTCGTATTAAAATTGATTTAGAACTTAAAAATCTACGACCTAAAAATTTAATAGTATTCTCTTAATATGACAAGTTAGTCATCTAGCCAAGAGAGTAAGAAGTAGAATTTTCAATGGTAATTCAACATATTTGTACGTGTTTTCTGATTCTCTGTCAGTTTCTATTCCGTTCAAAATAAATGACTCCTTAAATTCTTCCCTTAAAATTAGTTTTGGAGCAATATGTAATTTTTGCATAACCAACTAAGTATTTGAGAAGCAGTGTTTCAGACGATAAAATAATAGAGTGAATTATTTCTATTGGCAGAAAATTAACTGCATTAACTGCAGTATCATTGTCCAAAGAAAATCTTGAAAATTCACATTACTACTCGTTAAAAGAATAAGTAGGCGAAATATGTATAGGAATTTTATCAAGACAAGCTTCGAAATAGTTCAAAATAAAATTGGTTATGCATTTGCCAATTTAGCTCTATTCCTAACGGTAACCTAAGCTATCCCAGCTTAAAAAGTACTGGCTTCGGTAAGGCTTTAAGATTAACTTGTGATTCATTTTACTTTGTTTTCAAAATGAGGAGAGATCATGAAGTTCGTTCATAACTACATTGTTTGTAGTGGTTCTCAGGTTCATAAATGAGGCATCAAGAATTCTCACCTATAAACATGATGTTGTTTTTTTAACGAAGCATGGAGAATAAAACTTAATTCGGGGTTTTATGTCACTAGTTCAGTCACATAAACAAATAATGATGTACTTTATCATCTTCTGATCAAAACTTCATTCACTCATTTTTAGCACATAAAATGTATATCGTTAAAAAGTGAAACCCTTATGTATAACAGAAATTGTTCCACTTATACAGACGTTTTGTTCACCAGCGGTAGAATAATTGGAAACATGAAGATTAAGCACATGACATATTGTGGTGTTACGGTTTACTTAACACTCAGCTGTTGACTACTAAGTTCCAGACCCAGATCCTTGAACTTGAATTTGGGAAAATGAGGTGGCAGCACATTAAACTGACTGAAAACGATCAGTGAAACCATAACGTGCCATTCGAAATACGAGATATATAAATCAGTATGAAGTTGATGAGCAAATAAGTTGTATTATATTACACTACATACTCATTGATCGAAATGTGCATTAAAGTCTTGTTTATACATCAGAAAATGACGACGACTGTTGATAGCCTGATCCAACCATATAGCTTCGAGGAAAAGATTGTTTCTGAGAGCGTACAGATCAGGAAGTTTTAACTTCTCAGAAGTATTGGTGCTGTTGACTGAACATGTTCTGTTCTTCCCAAAATGATTAAACGTGTATTGGAACTGACTTAAATTATCTTCGGATTCACCACATTCCGATACTATATTTCGAAAAATTTGTAAAGCTTTCTTGAACCTTGTGCGAGCCAGAATACCTCGAATATGAGCTTGGAGCTTGACTATACTCTGTATTTCCGCTTTAAAAATTAAAAAACAATATTTAACAACTGTATACCATTTGAAAGATCGCGCATTACATAACACGGTTTTACTGACCGACACAGACACTGGTTAGCAAAGACAAGACCCAAAGTTCCCTAGGAAGAATCCAACTATACTTCAAAGCTTTTGTGGTGAAATCTAAAATCAAATACAGGATAAGTTTTTATAACATCAAGCGAATTCATATACGTTTTAAAATAGTTATCAAGTGAGGCCTTGTAGAAGAAAAAAACATTAGGATTTAAGTTATAGACGTATCAAATAGCTGTTAATAATTTCTTTGATTGTTTAATTTTATTGTATAAGTGTCAAAAGTGACCATTCTACAAGTATGTCTTCAAGGCCAGTTATGTTTAAAATGATATGATTTACAACAGCTGTAGAAACTAAGCGATTTTTGTATGGAGTTTACCTGTATCGTACCTAATAAAACTACGATCTCTCATTTTCTGTAGTTTTATTAACGTCTCGAGTGGGCTTGGAAGGTTATTAGATTTACTAGTTAATTTGGCGTAATGCTCATCAAGCAGAGTTCCACTTTTTAGTAAACCCGTTAGATAATAAGAACCTCTTGAATAATGAGGTTTCGAGTTTTTTCATACAGGTTTGTTTTTACTTAAAAAACCATTTGTTACGGGTAAGTGTTGAACAAAACACCTTTGTTTAAATCCTATTATTTAAAGCTAAAACATGTCAAAACTTTGCAAGTAATACGCCTACTACAAACATATGAATATTTGAAACACTGATAGAAAAATTTATTTTTACATATTTTAGCAAAACATTTCGTAAACCAACATTAGTAAATTTAGGACAAACTGGATAAAAAACGAGGGACGACAGTTTCGTACCTTAAAACACTGGAACAAGGAATAAAAAAATAGGAGAACAACAAATGTTTCACAGTCCATTGGGGTAGAAATGAAATTAGAGTTTTCCTTACAGATAACTAAAAGTGGTCAAGTATTTTCATTTCAGAAAAGTAACTTCCATTCAATTACTTTCAAATACAAGGGTATTTCCACCTCGGATTTCTAAAACGCAGAGTTTCACTGAAATTAAATTTAAAAAGCAGTGAAGTTCTTCTCGAAAAAGGAGGGTGAAACAAGATAAAGAGAACGTTAAACGGATTCGGAAGTGTACATATGCTTGATCTCTGTAGTTTGATCCTTGGTAAACGCTAGTCAATGTCCTTAAGTGCATCACGATATTTATTTATTTATTTAAACGCATAAAAATTGGTACAAAAGGGCACCGAATACATATGTGAGGGCTGAGATATTTTCCGATTGCTCAAACCAAGCAGGTGGTTTTCTTGTTAGGCCACGCCCTAAGTCTTTGATCTAACGGTCCAATCCACAAGGCAGTGAAGCAACGTAAGGAGATGCAATCCCATGTTAGCTGGTGACCAGCAATATGTTTAGACGCCACTTATTTCCTTAAGATCCTGGAGCACATGTGCACTATCGGTATGGAATCAGGGTTTTACAACTCCCCTAGGTGGATCCTCCGTATCCACCACGATATGCATCGATCGGAAGGTCGAGACAAGCATATAACTAGAAATGCTGAGTTATCCTGCATAAATACATTCGGAGATCTAAGGTATTTTGCTGGGACTAAACTTGCAAACTAAAATAAGGTGTCACACAGTTGTTACGAAGGGATTTAAGATAACTGCAACCAGTGCGTAACGTGTTTGGAATGCCAGGAATGAAGATATTTGTGACATGATGAATAGTAACTGTCCTTGCAAAGTTGTATTTAAGCAACCGCTTCTTTTCGAAACAATGCTAGAGAATTCCGTGACAAAGTGCAAAGCTTCTTATAAAATCTTTAGGAAGAAATGCATTGAAAACCGTCATAGTTAGTAAACATGAACAACAACAATAGCTCCGTTTGACTTAAACTGTCCTATGTAAACAAAAGTGGTTTAAAAAACTTTCTAAAACAGAGATGGTTAGCATCCAGACGCCTAAATATAGACTGGTCGGGTCCGACACTTATCAGTTTGCACAATGTTCACCATTGGGGTGAGTTGTACATTTTTCTCATTGTCGAGAAAGATAACTCGCATTGCGCGGCAATAGGTGGAATAAGAGGACTTATAGTTACGTCTAGGTTTGGATGGATTGGTGCGGGAAAATGGGTCACAAGACATATTTTGAACTTATGTTCACCACTCATGTTTATGCGAGCCTAAAAATCCGTACAATATTTAAAGATGAGTTGACTGGTTGAGTAAAAACCAGGTCATTGATCAGTGATTCAGTAACAACGTAGAACTTCGTACATACGTACATCAGTTCAAGTTGCCACACCACATTAGCACAAACATGCAGTTGTCAATTCAAATCCCATGGTAGCAAAAGTATAAGCAGTAATCGGAAACATTAGGGTTTGAAGATGTTATTCAAGGAGTATAATCCAGTGAAATAAATTTGGAAAGAGGAAAAACAAACAGACATGAAGAATTCAGAAGATTAGAATTTGGGAGAACACAAAGAGTGGATGCACCTGCACCACTGCAAACGATTTCGAGCCATGTCATTCAGGGTCTCTAACCATCGGTTGCTATCATCTCGCGGTCCCCAACCAGGTAGTCTACACCTACCAACATGGCTCAGTCCACTTTTCAGTGACTTCATGGACTTGTGCCATGTTTCGGTCTGGCCACCCCTAGCTCTCTTACAACCTACTCCACTGATATACCACTGAACATCGCACGTCGAGGCAGTCGGTTGTTGGGCATACGTAACACGTGTCCCAGCCATCTCAACTGATGAAGTTTCACTACTTCATCAATTGGTTTACCATCCTTACCTAGTACCCGTTTCCTAACAACTACATAACTTATTCGGTGGTCCCAGGATATACGAGCAATGTTTCGAAGACACCTACGATCGAATGCTGGTAACCTACGAATATCCTCTACTCTTAACGGCCATGTTTCACAGCATGTCTACGACAGAGTTAAACAAGAATGGAGAGGGTGGTCATACACGTTTTTGTGACCACTCACAGCTTTTGAGGGCTTGTAACTTGTCGCAATATCAGAGGTAGCTGCTTGATATGTGCTTGGGTTTTACTGAACCTTAAAAGGTTTGGGAATTTGATAGTCGCTTCGACTAAACTTCACTTTTTAGGTCAGTTTCCTACGAGATTACTCTTTTCTACGTTCGCTGTTGGCTTTGCGTTGAGACTTAATAACATGCTTGTCTTTTCTTACTGTGCGAAACGATCACAGGATCCTAACGACTGGACACAATGAAAACTGGATCACCTGGACATTTGCTTTTTCTTCCAGATTTGGTAGTATAAAGCCAAAAGGTTTGAGTTTTCATTGGTTATTTTGGCAGGGGAACAATGTCTGTGTCGATGAACTAAATATAGATCTCTTTGTATCTGATCTCACTAACTAAAATCCGATTTATCATCTATGTTTCATCCGTTAACCTTTGCAGTGATACCAGTTCCCGTGGAAAAGATTTCCTGGAAACATCTTAAAGTCAGTAACTTTCCAAAGTTTGGGGAAATATTAAAGGAAATCCAAAGTTATCTCAAATATTCAGGGGAATCCCCCACAATAATTTGAAAGTTTAAGGTTTTTTCGCCTCTCTCTAAAAGTTTCTGCTGCAACTCTTTCAAAGTTTATCCAAAACTGATAAAAATTTAACCAAAAATCGAGAGATCGGCCCAATATACAGGCATCATATGGGAGTGACAATTCAAATTATTAGCTATTTTTACCTTTGAATATGTGAGTTAAATCGAAATAAAATTAATGAATAATATATCTTTGTAGCCAAGAATACTTTTCTACTATCCAGATACAAACGTTAGGTAACAAATAACCCAATCTCCGAATTTCAGGGAAACTTTCATCCGTTTTGAGAAACTTTTATGGAACGTTCCAGTATCGGCACAAAAAACCCTAAGTTTACACAAGTCTGAGGAAACTCCTCAAAATTTTTCGGGACAATTTAGGGTTTACCACAATATTTCTCCGGAACCTTATGACATTTCGAGGTTTTTCCCTAAAATCTCCCTAAACTTCCCGAGATCCTAATGTTAGGGAAGCCGCTATAGCAAACTTTGAGGAAATTTACAAGAAATGGGATCAAAACGCGAAAATTTTCCTACATGTAGGAAAATTTCCCAATATTTCCCCAAAATTTCTCTTTAACTTCAGTGGAGGTCATTTGACTTTGGAGATTTCCCCGAAATTCCCCAAAATTTCCTCAAACTTAGGAGAATGGGTTTGACAACAACTACAAAATTTTCGCGACTTTCAAGAAAACCTCAAGGTTTACTCGAAATTTTTTCAAAACAACGAAATTGTGGATAAAATATTCCGTAAATTAAATTCATTGATGAAATTTTTTACCATTCTGAACATTCACCTGTCACTAAACAATAAAATTTCATTTTCATTATAGAACACTATTGCTTTCAAGTTGGAAATGGACTCTAGCTTACGCTTATTAATATTGGTGACGGAGTAAGGCCGCCTTTCGTTGCGTGCGCCAAACGTCTTGTGTTGACATTAGTAACGAATTTCAATTTCGATCCATACTTAGAAGGTATTCAAACAAAAGCCAGTATTATTTTTGCAATGGTGGCCATAGTTGAACCTTGAATGAATTATTTGAACATACTCTCGATCTTAATAAGTCATCAGAGCTCAGGTTTGTTTTCTAGCTGTAGAATACATCAATTCCAAATAAAACATCTAATTGACAAACTTCGATCGGTACTCAATAGTTATCCCGAACTTAACGAGTTGTTACTGATATACTTATTTGTAGACAGTAGTTTCGCTTATCACACCACAATGACCTGATTTTATTCTTAAGCACGCTGACAAGCTAAGAACGTCAAAAAAACAAATTCTACTATATGCTGGGTTTTAAGATAATCTTTATCTTTGATGGTCAGTAATACTCGTTGCTGACCGCTATCCTTGTGTTGAAGGACAATGACTTCGCCCTGACGGTTATCACGGATGACATAATTAAAACCATTTCAGATACTTATATTATTGGTGCACATCTGCAACTTTTATATTACTTAGAAATATATGGCCGTATTTTTGGAAATCCGCCTAGCAGAAGCTTGCGCATGAATCCATGTGATCGATGAAACACCAAAGAACCGTCGTTTTTATTTCACCATTGACCGATTAACTTTTTCTATTGATGAAAGTATCAGCATAGACCGTGATATGAAGTGTTTAACGATCTCAAAATCCACTGTCTTTGAGTACAACCTTAAAATTCTCATTAGTTCCATCGTAGATATATTCAATACAGATGTTTATCCTGAACGTTGATGATCTAGTTTGAATTATCGGGGGCCTACTCTAGTTAGAAAGGAATGGAATGACCAACAGCTAACCTCTAAGTCACACCTCTCGGTCAGCATCTAACGTGGATTACCTTTTTGTCGTATCAAGTTACATGGATGCTTCGATGACAGTGCAACACAAAGGACGTTATTACAAGATTATATTAATTAGAGTAGATACACCACTACATGGGCCAGTCCATGGTGCGAGATTTATTTATGCGCGTTGGTAGTCCTTGATCTCGACGGGAACCGATGAACCGTTCGATCTCCAGTGACCAGATGATTTGACTAAGGCCCAGTGAAATTTCACTGGCCCTAAACAACAGTCATTGTAGTTTACCAATGATGAGTAGATAACAACTGGTAATCACTCAAATCCTTCGGGGGACAATAGTAGTATATACAATCAAAGTAAAGCATTTCGTAACAGGCCAAGAATCCGTGATTTATAACGGGTGTACATCTTTGACCTAACAAGCATTCTCGAGAGTCCTGATAATTCTTTGAAAAACCTCATTCCACTTCATATTCATGCCATATTTCTTGAACGAACAATTCGGTAGAAGGTGCTTTGTGATTAGTAAATTCCCTGAGTCTTTTCAAAGGAATTGATTTTATTAAAATAGTCCAATCCCACAAATTATACAACTAATCAGTTAAAAATCGAAAATTCTAGCTGTGCCTGACTAGAAAATATAAGAGTGACAGTCATTTGGTTCATTCAGTGGCAAAAACTACCAACTTATGTACTCAGTGTATCACCTCAACGTCTTTAATGTGTTCGAAGAACCATCGAGCTCACCGACCGATAATTTCACTTGCCTGAAAACAATGGGTTGGAAAGCTGTATAAATAGCAAAATCATTCAGGTAACAATATATAACAAATATCTGAAAGGATTTCCTCGTGCCAGATGTTCGTTGGATTCATATTCATCAATAAAGTAAGCTACCTACCAGAATTAAATAAATCCTGTTATCTTTAACATGCGTTGATCGTTTCACACGGCACGCTACATGTATATTAATACTAAGACTCTAAAGCGCTCTTCGGACGATTTATCCCGAACTGTAGTTTCAAAAACAGCCCACAAGTCAGCATTATGCATGAATGACATCACTGACAATTGGAAGTTTCCTTCCCATCTGTAAAAACGTGTGATGGACTAAAACTTAACTTATTTACAGCTCAGCCGCTCAATTTTCAGAGGTCTTTTCAGGGGTCACATTTTTGGTGCTTGAAGTAGACGTTACTCCCTTCATGAAACAGGTTCTAAACGTTATGCCTTACACTTAAACCAATCTGAACCTGATAAACGTATGTCTTTTTGCAAACAACCATAAAATATAGTATACACATCTTCGGACTTTATACTGACTCCTCGAAAGATACACAAGCTCGCCGATAGACTGGAAGTAGTACATGTCTAGAACGTACACAAATCTTCGTCAATTTCCATATGTTTCCGATAAATATAGAAATTGTGTAAGTAACCACGGGACTACAAATAGTAATCAACCACTAGCATGTAACGTCAATTTCTCGCAAAAAGTTGGAATCGATAAGTTCTGAGTGGTTACTTGTGTTACATCCGACACTGGTTTGCTAGAAGTGAGATGTGGTAACTTCTAATGAATTGATGATGAGACATAAATTCGAAGATATGAACAGACAAGTTATATTCGTGCGTTGCAAAACACCAAAATATCGTTCGGGATAACAATAATAACAATAAACTTCATAGGAAACATCCATGTTTCAAGCTTTCAGAGTCGATAAAGGAAACAAAGGTAAAGCGGAAATCAGATGTTTGAGGTCAAAATTGTAACAAATTCATAACTTCAGTAAAATAAATTTATCGAAACCCAGCAAAAGATTGGCAACGATTAAAATGACAATCTACAGTAAGTCGAAAACTGAGTTTTTCTCATAACGTTTGTAAGGCGTGCAATGAAAAAGCTCGAAAAAGCTCAGGACTTATGAGAAATAAGCTCTAAGAACAGTCATTTATATGTTTCCTCCTTATTTTCCAAGCCCTCCGCAATAACCAAACATAGTACCAAAGGGAATGAAATAGAAACTGTCTTTTAGTATTCATCGCACGATTCCACAGTATAAATGAAATTAACCAGACTCCACCGGACATTGATAATCGTTTGAAGGCTGTTTGCCGACGTGTGCTTGTTAGGTTTAAGGATTTCGCTGACAACGTCCAAGGTTTCGCATTATCATAGTAGGGTGGCAACAGACTTTGGGTCTTTAAATCTTCGGAAAACATGTGGTTTTGTGGACGTTAGACATTTATGCTGACTTCGCTAGTTTCACTGTCAGTCACTCTGAAAACATCGGTCAGTTATAATCTGACTACCAAATGGAACATGCTTTTCCGTCTTTTGACTGGTAGTTAAGAAGCATCACATCCGTCTGCCAGTATCGATGGTAAAAACACCTTATTTCACCAACGCCATCTCTATTCTTGTTTGCGTTCTAGGTAAATTGCTGTGATATACTTGGGAACCAGCAGTGTCCGATCCTGTCATATTCACAGTGTTTTTGCAGTGATTTATTTTCGTTCCTGACAACGACAGAATAATTGGTTGTACTTTTCGTCTATGACAAAAGAGCGTTTTAGACGTTCGTAATAACCGCAGTCCTGCACACCGTTTAATCCCAGGTTACGTTAAATTTAATTACTTTTGTGCATTGTGCTCTACTTTTATTCAAGTGACTGGCTTTTACTACTGTTAATGGAAATAAAAGGTACTTATATGCAATCTAGACCTAAAGTACCAAAAGTGAGATTAGAAATGTTAATAGAGCACTCAACGTCTACTACTGACTCCGAGATACTTTTAGCCAAATTAAAATCAGTGGAAATAACGATTGTCGTTACTAGGATTCCAATGAGATCATTGCTCTATTATTGAACGTTCAAACATTTGAATTGACATCAACATTCTTAATCGTGTATTTGCCTTGACAATGAAAATGTGGTATGATTCACCAGTTTGTAATTCACTGACAACCTTATATTATTACGTATTACATGCTTATGGGGAACAAACTGAAGTCGGTTCGAATGTGCGTAAGAGATGTGAAATGAAAAATAAAGTTTGCCGACTATCATCGTAACGTTGCTTGAGCTCTCTAGCGGACCATGTAGGAAAAAACTACTGGTGTATAGTTGACTAGTAGTAGCCGTTCTTAAGCTGAAAAAACGGTTGTCTTCATAGAACTTAAAGTTTCCATGTTTTTAAGCTTACTTCCTCCTGGCCTACGAGGTATTTCCACTTTATTTACAACACATTCAAAATTAAAATTCCCGTTTATTATTATAACAACGACCCAGAGGTGCATGCTAAGAGTAGGATGTGTATAATTTCCTGTTCCTCTATAGGGAATAATGGATTCTATTTCGATCTGAGTTCCATTTCCGTCGTTACATTGTTTTCTTACAATGAGTTTCCTTTTGTGTTATGGTTGTACACCCATTTTATTTGGTTGTTTTATTATGTTCACCTCTTGTTTTTCAGATGATCAAAAAATGTTAAGTCACTCTCTTACGTGGTGTCTTACTCTGCTGAATCTGGACATAAGTAACGTGACCGCTCGGGTTATGTAGTCTGACGTCAAAGTTATGTCACCTAATAATTGCCCAACTTGGCCTGGCTATACTTTTTCCTTAATATTCATGGGGACTGAGTCGATCTCAATACATGGATGGTTTCCTTAAATGATGAGATGGAGAAATTGGTAATACATGGGAATAATGATCCTCAAATACTCATCTCTGGTTATCCTTAGTCTTAATGAAATATCTGGTAATGGTTTCAGAGGTAACGACGGTTCGGATTGACGTTTGATTTGGTCTAGGTCTGGTGTTATTTCAGTAAAACATGTAGCCCCCTGACTTATGTCTTTTCAGTAATTTTATTGATACACAATATGATTTATTAAACTACGACGTAGGATACGGCAAACTTACTCACCTTACCAAAAAGCGTATTAGTAGTTATTTTGGCGGAGGAATCGGTTTATTTGTAGTTATCTTTAATCTGCGGAACACAGCGGCCCCATTTATTTATATTGTACATTGTCTAGTCCGATCAGCACTGTTTCAAAAATAGCGGATACGCTGCTGGTTTTTGTTCTCTGTACGTCCTTCTGTTCTCGTTATCATTTACCTCTTAACTACTAGTTAGTAGTATTGTATCACCTTATGGACATGCAAAACCGAATTCAGT